TTTTGAACATGCTGAATTTCAATCAAGGGTAAGTAAGCGGTGTATTTTTAAAATATTCGGACATATAAGACTTAAAAAACCTTCAACGACCCGTGAATTGTGCAAAAACTATCTAACATTTTATATGCTGTTTGAAATAAAGTGAAAAGTTCATGACACTCTCCCCGTCATCACACCTCAAGTTTGCAGTGACTTGACGTCATTTTCCATTATGACGTCATATTTTGGTAGTTCAGAGATGTGAAGGCACCGAGTGCACTGTGATATTCTACGGGAAGCCTTAACCTACCTGCGCGATCACTTCTATATAAATGGCTCTGGTGTATAAGCAAATGAAAAGTGCGGCCCATTGCTTGTTTTTCGACACTCCACCTCTAGTTTTGCGAGTCACAACCGTCCATGGTCCAAAGGTATCTAACCCGATATAGGTGAAAGGAGGGAATGGTTTTAATCGGTCTGCTGGTAAGTCAGACATCAGTTGACTCTGGTATTTTCCGCGTAGTCGACGGCACTTAATACACTTGTGTAGCTGTGAAGATATTAAGCGCTTCGCTCCTATAATCCAATATCCTGCTGATTGCAGTGCCCCAGCTGTGAAATGTCTCCCTTGCTGCTTTACCAATTCATGAAAATGACGTATTAGTAAGACAGCTGCATGATGATTCTTCGGAATGCCAAATGCATGTCTTTCGTTGTATCCTCTCTTCAGTCTACATCCCACGTAGCAAACCGTTTGCATCAATAACTGGATTTAAAGAGATGAGGCTACTACTTCTGGGCAATGGCCTTTGCAAGCGCATAATCTCCTGCGCGAAAACCTTCTGCTGTATGATGTGGTCTTCAGATGAAAGCGAGTAGCTTGAGACTGCAAGGTCCTTAGAAGAGTGATACCTCCGAGATACTGTCCTCAATCGGTCTATGGATCTCACTAATACTTTCCAAGTAGAAAATCTCTCCGGCCTATGACTTATGTGAAATGTCTCAAATTGATAATTTTTGTTGTAGTTAGTTGTTTTCAGAGTTTCCATCTTTGCAGCCTTGCGAATTTCATTGTCATTCTCAGGATCACAGAGATGATACTCTGTATCACGATTCTCTTCAACTGGTTCTCTGAGTTGAGGTGGGCCTAGGATCCACCTGTTTTTATTAATGGCTTCAGCAGTCACATTTCTCGTGCCAGAATCTGCTGGATTAGATTTGGTTGGAACATAATTCCATTGGTCAGGTGTTGTTGACTTCCTGATTCATTCAATTCGGTTCTCTACATACATATAGAATCGCCTGCTTTGGTTATGTATATAATCCAGTACAACGAGGCTCTCAGTGTAAAAACTTAAAGTTCCTGTCAAGTTCTTCACTGATGATATCATATATCTGGACACACATCACTGTCGCACAGAGTTCCAAGCTTGGAACAGAATGTCCTTTCATTTTCCTTACACATTCCCAAAACAAATCCCACATGAATGTTGTTTGAAGCATCAACTGTACGTAAATAGGCCATTGAAGCTATGGCTGTTTCCGAGGCGCCCGAGAAAATATGAAGCTTTGTGGACAAAGTCTCTTGTAGAGAGATAGGCGCATGTTTTTGGAATGTGCACATCTTCAAGGAATTTCAAAGAGTCTTTCCAATTAGACCATTTGTCCAATAGATTGGGAGGTAAGGGTTCATCCCAACTGTACGAAGCTCTTAATTTTTCTCTCATCAAGATTTTCCGGAGACCACAACTGGTGCTACGAATCCAATGGGATCAAATATCCCGTTAATTGTTGACAACAGTCCTAGCTTACTGAAAGGTCTTTCTCCCACTGATGAACGATAAGTGAATGAATCAGATTTAAGCTCCCAGTTCAACCCTAAGCTCCCTAACATAGGAAGTTCCTCAACACTTAAATCAATATAACAGAAGTCCCAGGGATTTATCAGCCTATTTTGGGAAACGCCATTTTTGGGGAATTGGGAAAAAATTATCGGCTATTTAATGAAATTGGGAAAAATTAAAAATATTGCTTAAATCATGTATTCAAGTGTAATTCATTTAACATTTCAGCATGAACTCTAATTTGGGCAACCAAACAGACAATTACATATTATCCAACTTCATCATACAAGATCAATTATGAATAATAGACTAATAAAAGTAAAATTTACTTCAATGAGTATAAAGTATTTATACAACTTAGGGTAATACATGTGTGTGTGTGTGTGAGATTTCAATTTAGGTCATTATAGAATCTGTTTCTGGAAAATATAAACTTCCTGCAAAAAATTATACTAAAGTACACATTTTCTTAAAGTCCTCTTTTGATATGTATTAAAACATTGAAAATATATTTTTCTATCTGAAATAATGCCTACAGTCCTTACCATTCATTCGTAGATCATTTGAGTAGGTGGAAATAACTTAACAAATCTATACAATTACACAATATCACCATTTTCAGAAAAACGGAGGAAATTCGGATTAAAAGTTGACGATGTTTTTACAGTGTTGTTAAACATGTGTTATGACTGTAGCTTTGCTAAATGAGTTAAATAGATGAAAATTACAGACAATATGACAATTTTATTCTGTGTTTTTCCAAGAAAATTAAATATAAAAGCATTGTTCACCAATTGGGAAAAATACTGCCAAATTGGGAAAAACTGAGCTCATTTTCAATTGGGAATTGGGCCGAATTTCGGCCCCTGAGAAGGTACTGATAAATCCCTGAGTCCTTTGCCCTGTCCTCAGGTGGAAACGCATCCATAACATGTTTATTAATATTTAGGTCTTCCAATTCATATTTAGCCTAACGTGTGGTATGATCTTCGACACAATTTATAAGAGAAACAAATTCTTTAAAATGAATTAAAGATGACAGCAGTACTAAGCATATCAATCAAAGCGATAAGGTTGACCAACAGGCCAAGTACTCTAATTAGTGCAGGTATATAGAAGTTTTATTTTTCCAGGAAAAAAGCAAGAAACGAAACGGTATTTTTAATACGTAACATTCTTTCTTAGAACTGGAATTTTTTCAATCTCAAGCCAAGGGTTGCTTAAAAAAATTACTACATGTATGAAGCTCCTCCAAATAGCAAATTCGTCAGAAACATCTATCCAAAAATATAAATAATTCATTTCTTTTATTTAGATATATATTCCAAATAGTGCAGGAAGTTAAGCGTTTTATTTTTTCAGTAAAAAGAACGGTAAGAGAACGGTATTTTAGATATGTAGCAGTAATTCAAAGTACTGAAAATTTTGAATTATTGAGATTTTTCATGAAACACACACACACACACACCCTCACACACACACACACACACACACACACAGAGAGAGAGAGAGAGAGAGAGAGAGAGAGAGAGAGAGAGAGAGAGAGAGAGAGAGAGAGAGAGAGAGAGAGAGGGAATCAAACATAGTCTGAATTATAATCAATTTCAAATCAGTGTGCAAAATGAGTTTTTATAAAAAAAAAATTAAGTCATGAAAAAATTCAGCTGAAAAAATGGTTTGGTGTGTTTACTCTGAGGTAGACATTCACTGTTTTAGAGTCTGGAATTACAAATGTTTAAAAAGTAATTATTTATTTTTATTTTCTTAATGACCCTCTTTTTCAAGAGAAAACGTAAAATTGAATTTCATAGACAGAAAAGAGAAAAACCATGGACATTTATAAACTATGACACGATTACACTCGAGATAAAACCATCTTATTGGTTTCAAAGAATTTCCCAATTTTATTTGAAAAAAAAAGTCTATCTCTCTCCCTTCCCTCTACCTGTCTGTCTGTTTATTTGTCTGCATTCTCCCCCTCTCCCCTAAAATATTTACATTGAAGCTCCTTCAAATATCTAATTAATTTGAAACATCTATCCAATATTAAAATCAATTTAATTTTTTTTATACTTAGATATATATTTATTTGATTCTATTATATATATATATTTTTGCATCTTGAGAAAAAAAATTTTAATACGTGTATTAGATTAATCATATTTTTTTCTGTGGAAAGTGATTTTCTTACTGAAAAGTTGATAATTTCATAAAATGAGCTAACTTACACATTTTTGTAAACATATCTAAATGTGTTACCGCATTTCTATGTTAGTTAGTGCAGCACAGCATTAATACAAAATTCCGATCTAATCTGCATCGATCATGTGGATTTCAATGTATTAAAATAAATATGTTATCGTATTTCCAGGTAAATTAAAACCATTTTTGCATGGCCGTATAAAAGTTTGTTTAGTTTTAGAAAATTCATTTTCATTCAAGTATATTATGATTAAGCTGAATTTATTGTCATAGGTCTATATACATGTATGTAAAATATGCAAATTTGGAAATAAAAAAATATTTAATACTTCTTTGTATTCTTTTGAAAGTTAATTCCAATATAAATATTTATTGAATAATCCTAAGTTGTCACGCCCATGTAACATATCCGAGGATTGATCTAAAAATAAAGTAACAATTGCTATAAAATTTTTAATAGTGGATTGTTGATAACTTTTTGACTTTTGCATTAAAATTTCATTCAATTGTATGCATTACTTTTTAAAATGTTAAAAAAAAAACAAAAGGTTGGATCTCGGGTTTTGCAGCACGGCGAGAATGTTATCGAAGTTCTTATGATGTTTCTCTGCGGCACTCATTTTCATTTCATCGACTGGTGTAATTTAAATTAATAATAAAAATTTTTGATTATATTCGAATATTAAAGATTTTATAGCAGTGGTGACATTACTTTTGGATCAATTTTTTGCAATATATCGTTTATCTGTCTAAGTTTCTTAACAGATTAAAACGGCTGCATCTATGACTTACATTCTCTGTCGTTTTCTTCGATGTAAACAGAAATCTTGAACGAGGACATATTTTCTAAAAAAAAAAAAATAAATAAATAAAAAAATTAAAAAAAAAAAAAGTTGAAAAGAAATGGTATTGGTTCCCTTATGTTGATAATTGCAAAGAAAAGAATGAAAATAATAATAAATTTTTTTTTTTACCAGAATTGCTGCATCCATCATTAAAAACATTATTGCAGGATACGTATTCTGTGTATGAAGCTCCTCTATACACTAAACACATAGTCGGTACAGGGATTTCTATATAGAATTAAGATTTATATCTTTGTTATATGTTTTTGAGAGATACTCCACACAAATGCATACATGCCATATGTACCTTCTACATGGCTTGACCAGCTGTCTCCAATTATATACTTTTGTCCTGGTGTAAGTTTAGTCCTCAATTCCTCAAAGAATGAACCACTATGATTCAGCTGTACAGGAATCACGCAAAACTGGCAATGTTTTTGTAGAGTATCACAATCTTGTCGCAAAACAAATCGGATACTATATTATACATATTATACCGTTCTATAAATCTGTTATGTTTTAAAATAATATTTCATGTATAAATGTTTAAGCCTATCTACCTGAACATGTTTCATTTTCTTCTATCCTCTGAATTTGCAAAGTTATGATACCTTCAAGACATAATAGGTATAAAAATTTCTTGCACATGATATACCTAATCATATTGTAGAGTAGATTTTGAACAAAATTCATTATTTGTTGACCTTATTTCTCACTTAAAAAGATTTGACAGATGACTAAAAACGCACTCTGACAGACAATTCTAATGAAACATTTTTGATAGTAAATCTGTCAATCGTCTTAAAAATGCTTAACAATACAAGAGTACCATAGGCCACATCGCTCACATGCATACATTGGCTAAAAAAAGCACAAATAAATTCAGCATTGAAAAAAATTACGGGGGAGGGCAAACTTGGATTTTACACTTTGAGGATGTTTCCATATCAATATAAGAAATAGCTTTACTTTTCTCTAGCAGAAGATTTTTTTAAATAAAATTTTTTACAACTTATTTCTTTGTAAAAAATTTGAATCCCGATATTGACCCCTCCATTCCCCGGGGGTCATGATTTAAACAAACTTGAATTCACACTATCTGAGGATGCTTCCATATTGATACGACTAATCATGGCTTTGCTGTTTTTGAGATTTTTCAAGATTTTTTCATATTTATTCCTTTGTAAGAAAGGAATCCCCATTGTAACCCCACCCTACCCCTGGGGGCCATGATTTTAACAAATCTAAATCTACACTACCTGAGGATGCTTCCAAATCAATATGACTAATGGCTTTGCTGTTTTTGAGAAGAAGATTTTCCCCAATTTATTCCTATGTAAATCTTCGATACTTTCCTATTTATTCCTATGATCGAGGGTCATCATTTGTCCATATTTAATTTACACTACCTGAGGATTCTTCCATATCAATATGACAAATCATGGCTTTGCCGTTCTTCATCAGAAGGTTTTTCCCTATTTAGTCCTATGTAAATCTTCGATCTCCCATTGTGGCCCCACCCTTCACCCAGGGGTTATCGTGTGAACAAATTTACACTACCTGAGGATGTTTCCAAATCAAAATGACTTACCATGTCCTTGCTGTTTTTGAGAAGAAGATTTTTAAAGTTTTTTTTTAATATATACTCCGATGTTAAACTTCGATCCCCCTCTGTGGCTCCACCCTACCCCCGGGGGTCTTGATGTGAATAAACGTTCATCTACTCTATGTAAAGAATTTCCTATAAGCTCAAACTTTTTTGGCCCAATGGTTCTTGAGAAGAAGATTTTTATAATATACAACCAAATTTGAACTATTTCTTAATTATCTCCCCTTGAAAGGGAGCGGGGCCTTTCACTTGAACAAACCAGAATTTCCTTTACCCAAAGATGCTTTGTGGCAAGTTTGGATATATTGGTCCAGTGGTTCTGGAGAAGAAGTCGAAAATGTGAAAAGTTTACAGACGGACGGACAGACAGCTATACAGACGGAAAGAGGGACTACAGAGAAAATGTGATCAGAAAAGCTCACTTGAGCTTTCAGCTCAGGTGAGCTAAAACCTCCAAATAAAACGTATTCGCTGACAAAAGTATAATTTTCAGAAAAATTTGAAACGCAAATTTCTTGATAAGGTTAAAATTAAACCAGTTGTGATTAGAATTTCAAATTTCTTGCTACATATATGTAAAATTGATAACCAAAAAAGTTATCTTAATATTTGCAAACAATGCAAAAGTGTCAACGGAACAGCTAACATATTTAAAGACTCTATATCACAATTCTTCAACCCGCAGGGTTTGCAAAATTAAACCAAAGGTTTTTTTTAATAAATACAGACACAAAGATTAGCATATTAGTTTCATAATTGACAAAATAGAAAGGTTTCTCAAAATATTCTGTAGAACAAAGTGTCGGTCCTTGCTTCTAAAATATGTAACAGATGGGATATAAAACAGAATAGTATGAATCCATTTCTGTGTAATGTGGTATGACTTATAATTTTGGATTATTATCTATTTAACAAGTGGAAATATCTAGAAAATAAGACATTCTCTCTTTCTCTTCTCCCTGTCTTCAAAATAGAGGAAAAAACGCTGATAAGATGTCAGATTAAATATGAAGATAACAATCAATAATAATCAAGCTCAAATGTCCATTTAAACAATGCAAATTAGGGCAGAACAAACATGGAACTCTAAAAACATCAGAGATGGGATCAATGACAGATAACAAGCATCTCCTAACGACCGGTCACAATCAACATGTGTACTTTTGATATTCTTGTTTCATCAACTTATTTGTCGATAACTTGCCTCTTTTAAAAAATTGTTCGTATGCATGGCATGCTCTTAAAATGCGTATTGAATCAAACCCATGATGCAGGTGATGATGTCGACAAAATGAATAGTTACAAAGAGAAGGGTATTTGACGAAAGAAAGGTTGAAGTTATCTGGGTTTTCACAAAATTTTGTAGTTAGTCTAACCGTTAACGTCTTTTTCTAGTAAACAATCCAAATATGAAACAGATGTGACAGACTCTGTAGAATCTTTTATTTCGAGTTCAAAGGAATAAACCGAGTTAAAAGAGGAATGAAAATGAATACTGTTTCTTGAAGCAATATGGAGATAAAAAAATCATAATCAAGTAAAAAGTATATTGAAATACTACAAATCGGAAGCAGAATAAACTCGAACCTCTAAAAAATATACACAGGTGGGATTTGGTGCCATGGAGGAGTAAGCATATCCGCCGTGTGCTCCTTGTCACGGTAGGGAAAAACGAAAAAATCCGTAGATCATTTACTGTGTATAAATAATGGCTCAGAAATTGGTCGTACGAATAGCAAGCGCTTGCATATAGAATCAACATAGACTTCATATAAAACAAGAGGCCCAAGGGACTTAGCGGTCACCTGAGTACAATACAACAATTTAGAGGATCCATAAACTGATTAATGAAGCTTTGTTGCCCAAAAGCAAGAAAAATAGTATGATTGGTCTAGTATCTATCTGTCCCCCATTTAGCACTATTACCATGCAAACTATTATATATTAACAGAATATCTATTTTTTAACCCTATATTATTACCTCTCACATTGGCCTCTCTTGGCCTATGAAGAACATTTAAAAAGATAAGTTATTTTTGTCTCAATTTTATTCATCTACTATTTCAAAGTCTACCTGTTCATTAAAAGTTTAAACTATGAAAGTACTTTTTTATATTGTACAATTACAATTCTTGAATAATCCTCTTATTCTATTAACCTTTCAAATACATTATTTACAGTGAATAATTATTAAAGTTGAAGGGCAAAGGCGAACAACTTTGCTCAGTAGAATACAAATTAATGGAGCCCTGGCCAGGACCAGAACACCTGACCAAATGTCCATATGCTCAAAATTCTGGTAAAAATACCCTTGCTTATTAAAAATTTTACTCTGTTTGCCTTCAATATCCCAAGGAGCAGAGAAGATTTTCAAAGAAATAATTGATTACAGATTTAATACAGCCCTAACCTAACACCAGAACACATTACCCAGGGTCATGAAATTTACAAATTTGGAAGAGGTACCCTCATCATCATAACTATGAAATTAGTTGAAGATTTTCAAGAATTCACTATATTATCAATAGAGCCCCCCCCCCCCTGCGCCCTCCCGGGAAACACCAGAAACACCAGAACTCTTGGGACCACAAGTTTTTAAAAAATTGTAAGAAGCAACCTTGTTCATCATAACTAAGCACTTTATTTATCTGCCCAATACCTAGGAGCAGACATAATTATTTAATAGATTTTATGAATTTGTCCAAAATCTTGTACGTGAAAAGAAGAAAACACTTGCTGTGGCCTTCAACTCGACATTTAGATATATCGACGACGTATTGTCAATTAACAATGGCTATTTCCATTCTTATGTCGATACGATATATCCTTGTGAACTTGAGATAAAAGATACCACAGAGTCTGAAACATCTGTTTCATATTTGGATATTTTACTTGAAAAAGACGTTAATGGTAATCTAACAACCAAGCTTTATGATAAACGTGATGACTTTAACTTTTCAATCGTCAATTTCCCTTACTTATGCAGCAATATACCTTCATCACCTGCATACGGGGTTTATATCTCTCAGTTGATTCGATACGCAAGAGCATGCTCTACGTATGTACAATTTCTAAAACGAGGTAAATTATTGACAAATAAGTTGATGAAACAAGAATATCAGCTGTCTCGTTTAAAGTCATCATTTCGTAAGTTCTATGGCCGATACAATGACCTTGTCAGCAAATACAATTTATCATTGAGTCAAATGCTGACTGACGTTTTTCATACTAATTGTTAGGTCATTATTTACACACTGAATTGTCGACGGATTTTTCCGTTACTGTAGATTCATTTTTTTTTTTTCGCGAGTACTTATTTTCGCAAAATAACTCTTTGACGTCAAATCGCGAGAACAATAATTCGCGAGTGGACGGTTGATCAAGAGATTTTACATTGATTTCAGGACCATAAAAATAAAAGCGAGTAATTTTTATTTCGCGAGTGGTGCTTCTCGCGTAATTACGCGACAATTAATTCCTCGCGTATATTTAGGAATCTACAGTATTTCCCGATGATGACAAGGAGCACACGGCGGGTGTGACCGGTCGGCAGGGGATGCTCACTCCTCCATTGCACCTGATCCCACCTCTGATGTTTGGAGGTCCGTGTTTGCTCTGCTCCTATTTTGTATTGATTAATGGACTTTTGAGCTTGAATACTGTTCGTTATCTCCATATATTTCATGCATTTATTTTATACCAAGAAGCAGAGAAGAAGATTTTCAAAGAATTAATGCATTTTTACTATAGAATCATTAGAACCCCTGACCCTGGGGCCATGAATTTCACAATTTAGGAAGAGGCAGCCTTGTTCAACATAATTTTGAACTTAGTTACTGAGTAGTTTATTTAATACTCAGGGGCAGAGAAGAAGATTTTAAATGAATTAATGATTGATTGATTGTTTGTTGTTTTACGTTCCGTTAAAAAAATTTTTCACTCATATAGAGACGTCACCATATACCAGTGAAGGGCCTCAGATTTACACCTTTACTCGGCACTC